ATCTATCTATCTATCTATCTATCTATCTATCTATCTATCTATCTATCATCTCTATCACCTATTTATCTGTCTCCTATCTATCGCTATTGTCTATTTCTGTCATCTATCTATCTATCTATCTATCTAATCTATCTAATCTATCTATCTATCTATCTATCTATCTATCTATCTATCTATCTATCTATCTATATCATCTTTATCATCTATTTATCTACCTGTCTCTAATCTAGCTACCTACCTACCTATCATTTATTTACCTATCATCTATTTCTCTGTCATATCTATCTGTGTCTATATCTATCATCTATTTATGTATCTGTCTCTCTCTCTGTTTCAAACATTTACCTTAGCAATCAACTACGATGGTAGTCTATCCACCATGTTATGGGATATGATGTTTTCTCAGATTGTATGCATTTTAATTCTTATATATTGCCGTTATTATTATTTTATTTTGATGGGCACCCAGACAGACTGAAAAAGGACATTTTAAAAAATTGATTGAGACCTGCAATGCAGTGATTGTATAAAACTGCCCCAACAATCCATCAAATTTATTACACTCGTTGTTTCCAAATGGCGCCTCTGCATGTTACGATAAATTTGCCAAGCTTGAGAAAAGTCAAGTTTCAGACAAGATTAAAAACGAAGCTCTTCCAAGTGTGTTGACTAAAACAATCTCTCCAGCTTGATGGCTGGTTGACTTTGAGGCTACTTATGTCCCCAAAAGTGATTACTTAATTCGGTTATTATTCTTTTCTTAATCGGTTTCTTACCGTGAACGTTGCCATCGTTTATTTAGAGTGGGTGTAAATGATAACAATAAGTATGATTTGTATTCTATAGCGTTAACAGCAGGGAACCCCAGCCGGCTGAATAAATGAGTGAGTGAATAAAATCTCAGCAGTGCTATCAACTCAAAAGATCTCACATCCAATTTTCTTGGTGGGCTTTATAAATTTGTGCTTAAAAGCTTTTTTTAAAAAAACTTTTTCCTTGGGCTTAAAACTGATTCTGAAAATACTTGTGAGGCAGATATGCCGATCCCTGACTTAGGTTTGAAAAAAGGAATTTTTTCCTGGTTTTGAAATAGAAAGGATGGGTGGGAGACAAGAGAAAAGACTAGAAGACTCCCAAGTCTGTTATTCTGTTACTCTGTTTAAAAGTATTTCCTCCACTTTTAGCCTATTTTAAATTCTACCTCAGCGGTCTCCAGACGTGTGGATTTCAACTCCCAGAATTCATGGTTGGCTGGGGAATTCTGGGAGTTGAAGTCCACAAGTTTCCAAGTTTGGAGTCCTCTGTTTTAGCTTGAAGCTACAGTTTCCCCAAAAATACAACCTACCCTGAAAGTAAGACCTAGCTTGATTTTTTTACACATGTGCCCAATATAAGCCCTACCCCCCAAAATAAGCCCTAATTAAGATCCCACCCACTCCAGAGTGGACAGGTAAAAATTAAGCCAGGGTGGGGATCGGATGGTAGTGGAGCTGCCCTACTACTTACCTTCGGATAGTTGTAGCCAAGCCTCACACACCCCGACACCTGCCTTGCCGGCCCATTTCTTCTGCAGCTGGCAAGGCTTTCCTGAAGGCCTTTGTAGCTGATAACAAAGCTCTGGATCGATCCAGAGCTATTATTGCCTGCAGAGGCCTTCGGGAAAGCTTTGTCGGCCGCAGAAGTTCCTGAAGGCCTTTGACAGCAAAAAGGAGGCCAGGGGGCAATGCACGCAAGTGAGGTTAGTCAGTGGATGACATCCCCCGAAAATAAGACCTAGTGCCTTTTTTGGTGGCAAAAAAAATATAAGACAGGGTCTTGTTTTTGGGGAAACACAGGTAGGAAATTTGAGGCAGTGAGTTAAGGGCAGCGCGATTTGTGAGACTTCCTTGCACCGAACACTTCCTCCTACCTTTACGGGAGAAGCCACCTGAGGTCTCTTCTTCGGAACTGCTCTCCGTTTCGAAGAGCTCCTTAAATTCCCTCTTGTCCTCCTCTTTCTTTTCGTTCGGCTTCTTACGTTTAATTTCGGGGAAGTTCAGGTCTTCCAGCTACAACCAGACAACAAAGGAAGGAAGGACAGAAGAAAAAGACATTAAAAGCGTTATTTCCTCCAGTCTCCAATGAGCCCCAATGCAGAAGGCAGCTAGGTGGCTGTTCTTTGTTTTGTTTTTTAAATAAATTTATTTATTCAACCGTTTTAACATTTAAAAACAAATCTCCGCACTTTACAACGTTACTATAGCAGTGTTTACACTGTAGACATCTTCTATTAACGTGTTATGCATCTCTGTTTTTCATTCTTCGTCATTCTAGGCATTTTATACATATACATTTTTATTTACCTCTATTTACACGAAAACCTTGTTTTGTAGTTTTATAGTATTACATAGATCATTTGACGTCCTTGCGTCTTATTCTTATTTGTTCCAAACATCCCATATTTTATAATATTCTCCTTCTTCTTTATCCTTCAGCAATTTTGTTAATCTATCCATCTCTGCGCATGGATATACCTTATGAATAATTGTGGCTTTGGGGTGTGTGTGTCATAGCCTGCTTCCAATTTTGGGCGAAAGAAATTCTGGCCACCGTTATGATATGGAGCATCAAATATTAATATTTTCTGTGCATGTTAGGATCTAACATTCGTAATAAAAAGATTTCTGGTTGAAATTTCACTCTGTTTCACTATTTCCTCTAACCATGATCTAACTTTTTGCCAATATCTCCGTGCGTGGGGGCACAACCACCACATATGGAAGTATGTTCCCTGGTTATGATTGCATCTCCCACATTTGGGTATCATATTTGGAACTAGGGGGCTGTTTTAAAGCATGTTTTAAAACCCCACAAAACTACATACATACAGGTTGGAAAGAAGGGAATATAGCAAGGCTCCCGCATGAGCAAGTGTTACACATAATAACTGAAGTAAAATATTAACAAAATAACAGAGTTGGAAGAGACCTTGGAGGTCTTCTAGTCCATCCCTCTTCTCAGGCAGGAAGCCCTGGATATCATATTCCCACTTCCCGAATAGAGTCTGAAATATTGAAGGGTGGAAAAAAGAAATATCCTACAGAGAAATCTTGAATTTTTAACTATGGGAGAATTGTAAAAATGCCAAGACTGTCTTTTGTTTTCTAATCCTTTCCAGCCAATGCAGCCTTCACAAAAGAATGCAGAAAATCCCTTTTGGAATTTCTGACGAGTTTTCAAGATCTCTGAAATTATATAGCCCAAAGAAAATGTTGGGGATCTCAAAATAAGGAGGAAAATACTCCTTCGATTGCAATTGTGTGGCCAAACCTGCCCCAATACAATGGCGGGTTATGTGTGATTAAAACCCTGAGAAAAGTCAAATGAAGCAGAAAGTAGCAATTGCATTAATTGGTCGCCCGCTGTGTGCCAGGATCTCATGATGGCTTAAAATGGAAGGATTTGGAGTCACCAACTATATAAAAAAAGATTTTGAGACTGTAGAAAAAAACGCAGAGAAGAGCAACCAGGATGATGAGGGGACTGGAGGCTAAAACATACGATGGACGGTTGCAGGAACTGGGCATGGTTAGTCTAGGGAAGAGAAGGACCAGGGGAGACAGGACAGCAGCCTTCCTATATTTGAAGGGGTTGCCACAGAGAGGAGGAGGGGGTCAAACTATTTTCCAAGGCACCTGAAGGCCAGACAAGGAATAATGGATGGAAACTGATCAAGGAGAGATTCAACCTGGAAATAAGGAGAAACTTTCTGACAGGGAGAACAATCAACCCATGGAACAGAAGTTGCCCCCAGAGGTTGTGGGAACTTCATCACTTGAGACTTTGAAGAAGACACTGGACTTCCCTCTGTCAGAAATGGCATAGGGTCTCCTGCTTGGGCAAGGGGTTGGACTAGATGACCTACAAGGTCCCTTCCAACTCTGATTATCTGTATTGTCTATACTGTCCTACCCGTTCTTTGCCAGTAATTTCAAGCTGAATTTCCTTCTCTCTCAGCTTCTTCCAAGTCACGTAGTACGTCCTTAGTGGAGTTCCTTCTGCTTTGATAGTTTTTTCCCATCGCTCCTGTCAAAAAATTGGCCAGACGCGTAAGAAAGGTATCAACCAAGCATTTCCTATAACAACATTCATAAAACCACCCGCATTTTCCACTTCGGGTGCAAGGGGGGTAGTGGGAGTCTCTCCAGATTTTCTTATTCCAGTTCTGAAGATTGAAGTCAAATTGCAAAACAACAGCAACAACAAAAAAAACAAGAGTTGTGTGTTCAAAACAGTTTTTCAGAGTGGGAAAAAAAAAATCCGCTCATGGAACTTTTTTCAGAGCAAAACCACAATCTAATAACACAAATTTGATCTAACGCAGAGGGGCAGCGCCGAGGAGCTATTTGAAGGCTTTTACAACCAGTCCTCTGTCACTAAGTGAGACATTCGTTAAGTGAATCCCTGCAGTTGTTGAGGTTAGTGAAACGGTCATTCAGCGGATCAGGCTTCCCCGATGGCCGTTCCCCGAGAACCGTCATAACTATGAATCAATTGCCAAGCATCCCAATTTTGGTCACGGGGATGTGACAACTGTCATTAAGCGTGCAAAACAGTTCTAAGTCACTTTTTTTCAGTGAATGATGTGTCTCAGAGTCGGCTACACCCAGGCAGTGCTGGCATGTTAACTCCCAATAAATCCTTTTTAAGTTTTGGAAGTTTGGCTCGAGATTCATGATTTAACTGGGGTAACTGCTGGAATCCTGACAATGTGGTTTGTTAAACCATGATTAAACAAGCTAGGATGGAGCACTCTGTGTTGGCTTCCACAAGAAATTCTCCAGGGATGAGAGAATTTTATTCTCTGGATGTCTGGTTGTAATAAGGAGTCATATGATAAACTGAACAAATATTCTTATGACTAACAGCAGTTTTTTTCCAGTGGTAGAAAAGTATGTTTTCTCTCTTCGTGTTTGTTTACTGCACTGTTTTTAATTTCCTTCCTGTCTTGTGCTAGCATTTTCTCTCACTTTAGCATCCGTGCTAAAAGGCTTGTAAAAACCGTGGCTAGACGGTGTGAGCATCTGTATTAGGTCCTGTTACACTCATTGCAACCCCAAAACCTCACATTTCTAAGCATAGAGAAGAGGGGAAAAAATAATAATTAAAGAACAGAAAGTTCACATTCCATACTGCCGACCTCTTAAAAAGTGCTTCCTTTAAGGCATAATCTCTGATCTGAAGTGGGCCTCAATTCTCCACCTGAAAAATGGGAGCCTTCTGTCCTTCCGAGGTGGGTAAAATGAGGACCCAGATTGTTGGGGGCAAGAGGCTGATTCTGTCAACTGCTGGAAAGCACTGTGAAGCGGTATATAAGTCTGAAGTATTATTCCTCCTTCCTTCCTTCCTTCCTTCCTTCCTTTCCTTCCTTCCTTCCTTCCTTCCTTCCTTCCTTCCTTCCTTCCTTCCTTCCCAGTGGTTAGAATGCACTACTCCAGGCTAATTCTGCCCACTGCCAAGAGTTTGATCCTGACCAACTGGCTCAAGGTTGACTCAGCCTTCCATCCTTCTGAAGTAGGTCAAAGGAGGACCCAGATTGTTGGGGGCAAGAGGCTGATTCTGTCAACTGCTTAGAGAGGGCTGGAAAGCACTGTGAAGCGGTATATAAGTCTTAAGAAGTGCTATTGCTATTTATTTGTTAAAGAAATCAAGAACGAAGCGGCTTTGGATATTCCTTTTTCGAGGCGTGAAATAAGAACAGGTGTTTCTCCTGAGCGTGAAACCCTTCCCAGCTGGACAAAAGGGAGAAAAGAGGTGACTCACCACTGCCTCTCGATCGGAGACGCCGAAGGAAGCTTTCTGGCGCTTGGCCGTGATGAAGGCGGAGTTCTCCTGCAGTTTTTCCAAGAGCTGCCGGATGGTTTTGCAATAGTTGGTGATTTTGCAATCCTTCAGAAAGGACTTCAGCTGGAGAGGAGGAGGAGGAGGAGGAGGAGGACCGGAAAGAAACAAGACAGCAAAAACAAAAAAAAATTCCATGAATGGCTCTCGTTGTGTTTTTTTTTTTTTTAAAGTCTGACTTGCATACAGTTTTCTATCCCCCGTGTTTAGATCTAGCTGGCAAACATGCAAAAAAAAAACAAACCCCAAGATGGGTGAGAGGTCATCCTCCTCCAATCCTTGACTCTGATTTAAAGATGGAATATATGTACATATATACACAAAAACATTCAGCAGGAAGGAGAAGGAAAACAGCCTCTAGGAGTCACAAGCTGTTGATGGGAGTTTTGGCAAAGCCACTGGCCACAGTGGAGGCCGGAGGCCTGGCTGATCGAGACGGATCTTCCTGCGGCCCTTATTGACTTCTGGCTTTGAGGCCAGCTTAATAGCTGTTCCTGACCATCAAAGACCCCCGTTTTATATCTTAGCCTAACCCCCCAAAGGAACTGATGGGCTGAGGCAGGCCAAATTGCTTGGTTGGAAATCCAGCTGAGAGCCTGGGTTGTTTTAATCTGGTTAAAACGCTTTAATTTGTCCAAGGAAAAAAAAAAAGAGAGAGAGAGAATATGTGGGCAGGAGGAAAGAAGGAAGGAAGGAGAGAAGAAAAGAGGAAGGAGGGAAGGAGAGAGAAAAGGAAGGGGAAAGGAGAGAAGAAAAAAGGAGAGAGAAAAGGAAGGAGAAAGGAAGAGAGAAAAGGAAGGAAGGAGAAAGGAGGAGAGAAGAAAAGAGATAGGAAGGAAAGTAGAAGAGAAAAGGAAGGAATGAGAAAGGAGGAGAGAAGAAAAGAGATAGGAAGGAGGGAAGAAGAGAAAGGGAAGGAAGGAATACAATAGTAATAGTGCAACAGAGTAATTTTAACTGGATTTCTCTTTTAGTTTGCTTATTTGTAATTCTGTTAATTATATCAACACGTTTACGATTATCAACCCTCCTTATATTTAATTCAAACATAACAGTCATCTTTCTTCGTCTAATTTCTACCTCTTCTCTCTAACCACTCCTAAAATCCATGTTAAGTAATATTCTGTGTCTTCTTTGTCCTTTATTTTAAACGTCAATCTATCCATCTCTGCACAGTCTAGTATCTTCTGAATTACGTCCTCATTGGATGGGGCGTTCTCATTTTTCCAATATTGCGCAAATACAACCCTTGCCAATTACATGCCAAACTAAGTATAATCCCCCCCCTCTCTAAAAGGCCTGGGAGAAGAACCCCCCCCAATTCACACAATCAGCTTCCTTCCGTCCAAAATAAAACGAAGCCAGCAAAATTAGCGAAAATGTTTAAGGATAAATCAATTAAATGTTGGAAATGTCATCAAATACCAGGAACATATATGTGGTGGACTTGCACAGAGGCTAAAAGGTATTGGAGTAAAATACACACATGGTTGGAGAAAATGATGAAACAACACATAGATTTGAAGCCTCCCTCTGGGTGCCCCCCCCCTGCAAA